TCCTGCTGATGTTTAGTGGGAGTAGAATGTACAATGAAATAGGAACATGCAGCAGCTTTCAAGGAAAGCAGTGTTGAGATACAGCTGATGTGCATTCTCTGTGTTTGATCATGCTATTTTTAAAAAATCAATGACAGTTCCTCTAAGTTGGGATCTGCCCTAAGGTCGTCTTTCAATGGAATTAGAGGCTCTGACTTAGCAAAGCACTGGTGGAGGTGCTTATCCTCACATAGATGCCTTGATTCTCCTGGAATTTAAGCATCTGCTTTAAGATATGCTGAGGCTTAAGAGTTTTTCCTTAAGCAGGCTGCTTTCCTTCAGTAAGAGGACCACTGTGAAGCAAAATATAAAAATATAATCTGGAAAATATTAAAATTTGTGCTGCTTTGCTGAAGCAGAAATCTGTGTTTTGATATCTGACATGAAGGCTCATTTGAATTGTAGTGTGGATAGATAAGAGTGACTGGTTTTCTCTTTTGTGCACAGAAAGTTGGGTGCGACAGGGTCATAGGTTCCACGAAGCAGGAAGATAAGTGTGGTGTTTGTGGAGGAGATAATTCCCACTGCAAAGTGGTAAAAGGAACATTTTCAAGAGTACCAAAGAAACAAGGTCAGTGCATTCAATGTTTTGTCCTGGGGAATTCAGGGGGGGGTTTTTTGTGTCATTGCTTCTTTTTCATGGAAAGTACCAGAGCGATCAAATAATTCCAATTAACTCTCTGGACTTCACTTTGAGAAGTGTCTAGAATTTGAAAATAAGACTTTTGTGGTCAGTTATGTCTGCTGATATCAAGGGCTGTGGATGCATAGAAGAGGGCCTCAGTGCTCCATGTTGGAGTGCTATGGGCTTGTCTGTACTGCTGGTGTCACCCAGCTGCTCTCTCCAAGCTGTGATAATACGTTGTCATCCCCCACTGTCAGACAGGACTTGCACTGGTCTCTCTCTGTGGGTGCACGTGGGGCTCAAAGCCTGTTTTAGTCTGAAGTGAAGTGTGCTGATGATACTTAAGGCATTATTCTTCTGACCTGAAGCCCTTTGCCCCTGTTATATTCCATCACCTGGCACAGAAGCAGGGATGGGAATGATGCTGGATTAGGTTCGGCTTGCTGTAATACACCCTGCTTTTAGAAAATGGGATTTATTTATAAACCTAAGCCAGACTTTTCCTGTTTGTGGCATACTAACCCGTTACTATCTTTTCAAATGCTGCACTAAAGGGCACATTAAGATGTTTGAAATTCCTGTTGGTGCGAGACATTTACTTATACAGGAAACAGACGCCACCAGCCACAATCTTGGTATGTATGCAAGTAGGAAAATTTTCAGTCAGAATATTTTTTTCTGTCTATTTTTGTCTCTGGAGCCTGACAATGTGTTTATGTGTTTGTTTACCCATTATCCTCCCACACCACGTACCTCCCTTAAGTATGTTAAATTAGGAAACTTGTTTGGCAGTCTGATTTCCCTGTGCTGCATTCCCCAGTGTCCAAGCCAGAAGATCCCTGCATTGGCATGTGCGTCTGTGAAAGCTGCTGGGAGAGGAGCTGGATTATATTATGGGGTGCAATGCACTGTCTTTGTGTGCATCTCTCATAACGTGCTTCCCATCCTCAGCTGTTTCCCAGCTACATCCAAATCTGTTTCAAATTCTGCCCCATTGCTAACAGTATTGACACAAGGCTGCCCGATCAATCCTGCAGCTTAGAAAGTAATTGAAATCCACTCCTGCCAGTGCCCTGTAATCAATGCGAGGCAGTGGCTAGTAGGCTGTTATTAATTGGAAGTAGATTCACAGCAAATGGCCTCCTAATTGTATCGTGAGTCATCCCAAGTCCTCGGCAGTCAACACTTCCCTTGCTGCTCAGTGCAGCAGGATCAGGAGATCAGATCTCTGCCCCGTGGATCAGGATACTTGGGAAGCTGCTAGAGAGAGAAGGGAGTTAAAATCTGGGGTTAAATAACAAGCAGACCCTGCTGCTTCTAACAAGGAGAGCAAGTTTTCCACCTCAAGATAAAGCCAAGAGTCCTCATACAAAGGTGGCCAAAGTCTCTGGAGGTGAAGGACGGGGCACTGACAGCTGGACCAGAGGAACTGGGTGCTGGGAGCAGTGGCAGGTGCCTGCAAAGCAGCAGGAGCTTAAGCAGGGCTGGATCTCAGCAGGAGAATTAGCACAGTCTGTAGCCTCTCTCTCTATGGGCACCCACTGGGGGTTAGCCCAGTAGCCTTTCTCTCATGGAACAATAACAGCCCCCTGCACTGCCTTACAATGTATGAAAGAGCTGAGTAGCCACGGGACCCCCACCAGCTCTCAGATTGGCTCAGCTTTGGCCAGTGGCTTCAGAAGTCATGAGTCGGGAGCAGGCAGACGGACACACGCCGTGCAGTCGCACTGCCCTCGTTTCTCTGGCAAAGCAGGCTATGAAAAAGCAAAAAAAAGGACAATTGATGTTTCTGGGGCTGAGCAGGAAAGCACTGGCTGTTCAGTGAAAGACATGAAAAAGTCTTCCCAAACCTGTGAGGGAACAGAGGGAAAATTTGCTGCTTCTTCCTCTGGGCCAAGAGCAGAACAAACCTTGAGATGAGAAGCGAACCTCTCTCATTCACTTTTCTTATGTTGCTCCTAGCAATTAAAAATCGTGAAACAGGGAAATACATTCTGAGTGAAGACAACTATGTGCCAGACTCTAAAGTGTTTATTGCCATGGGTGTGGAGTGGGAATATCGGAACGATGATGACAGAGAAACCGTGCAGACCATGGGGCCGCTGCGTAACGGGATAGTTATTCTGGTAAGTCAAATGAGAACCATCTTCAGCAGAACACAGTCTCAGAGTTACTGAGCCATGATGTGCTAGAATATATTTTAGATTCCTCTTGTGAGTTACAAGATGGCATCTGCTTCGATTATAAGACAATAGAAGTAGTATTTTAATTCCTTTCTCCTAATTCTTTGCTCTGCACGAGAGTTGTTGTAACTCTGGGTTGTGTGTTGAGCAACCAGCTCTTCTGATTATTTCCTGTGCATGGCCAGCAAATGGCAACTGTGTAGAGACTCTCCAGCTTGCTTATCATATCTGACACATAAGCATCAGTAGAAAGAGGTTAAAATGTTTTGTATTAGATAGATCTAATAGCTCCTCCTCCTATCCGTGTTTTGAAGATGTGTCCTGACAAGGCAGGTGCAGGATCCTTGTTCTTCCAGGCTCACTTTGTCAGGGCACAGCCAGTTCTGCAGTTCCCAAACCCACCTGAGCATTCTTCCATTGCAAACCAGCAAACAGTAGACTACAATGAGTAGGGGTGGGTCAATCCAGAATCCCCCTGAAAGCAGCAGTAATGTGTTGCTCTATACTAGCTGAATGTCAAAGGAAGAATAAATATTATGTTTTCAATGGACCAGTATTTTGTACTTTGTTCACATTGAGTTCCTTTTTTTTTTTTGCATTTGTATTAGAGCAGAGTGATAGCAAAAATTCTTTCTAAATAGTTTATAGTTCTGTCAGGATTAAGTAATAAGCTTCACAGAATTCTTAGGATTAGCATAAGAATATTTGTGTTTTATCATAAAGATAAGCAATTTTCTTCTATCATCAGTTATCTGTGTATTTGAATTTGCTTTGCCTCTTAATGAAACTATCCATTATCATTTTAGTACAACACTTCCTTCCTTTATGATGGGTTATGGAAAAAATTTAGTGTCGTGAAGTTAGTCCAATGCTGGCAAGAAAATTCAGTCTAAATCAACAACAGTCTTTCTTAATATGCACTTAAGAAACTCTGTCATAAGGATAGACATCCTTTTTCATCAGGGAAAGAAAAATGTGTTGAGTGCAGCTAAAAGGTTTAAATCTCTCTGGAGATGTTTTCATATCTGGGCCATGATGATTGTGATTTCACATCATCTCACATAGCTTCTGGTATCAGTCCTTCATATCTTTTTTCTCTACATGTGCTTGGTTTACTAGGTGATTCCTCATGGTGGTGCCAAGATATCTTTGACCTATAAGTACATGATCCATGAAGATTCCTTGAATGTAGATAACAACAATGTTTTGGAAGAGGACTCGGTGTCGTATGAATGGGCTTTGAAGAAATGGTCCCAGTGTTCAAAACCTTGTGGAGGAGGTAAATACAAAACTACAGAGCATTCAAAATGGGTTAAGTGAAAACTGAAAGAATGAACACCGTGTGTGTGGACTTCATTGCCACAAGACATTAGGGAGACCAGGAGCATGGGAGGGTTTTATTTAGGTTAATAAATAAATAGTGACTGGAGTTTAAAAATCTGATTTAAATGGTTTTAGGGGCAGCTCTGGGGTGGCTCTTTTCTTATTTATGTTTCCAAAACTGAAAAAAAATTGTACTAATGTGCAAGATTTGGATGAGGGTCTCCAAGCTGCAAGGGTGTCAAACCTCAAGGTGCCTCAGGGCAGCCCGTAGTGAATCTGCATCCTGTGACGTGGACCTCACAATGGGAGACCCTGTTCTTGGGGACAAATGTTTACCATGATGCTTATGGTCAGATTGTGGTGCCAGAGCACAGCTATGGAGGCTGGCAGAACATTTTTGCAGTGCTAGGTGGTGGTGTTTTTCTTATTATAGCCTGTGGTGACAAATAAAGGGGATGAACAGTTCTAGGTGCTAAACCTACAGAGGCGTTTATTCAGTGCAGTTTAGAGTTCTTTTTGTAGTGTGCTCACCTGTAGTTCCAGCTGCAGCCTTTGACCGTGTACGTGCAGTTTGTTTGAAACCTGAGCCCCGTGTAAGGTCTCCTACTGAAAATAACACAGAAAATAAGAGGAGTGTCTTTCTTCAGGCTACCAGTTCACAAAATACGGCTGCCGGAGGAAGACCGACCACAAGATGGTCCATCGGAGTTACTGCGAGTTGATCCAAAAGCCCAAACCCATCCGCAGGGTGTGCAACCTCCAGGAGTGCTCCCAGCCCATGTAAGCATCCCAGCCCTGCTCCACAGGGGCTGTACCCAGCCAGCACTTCTCACCCGAAACCAGGTGGCTTAAGCTCCACCTCTGTGCATCACCACAGAGACCCAGGACTGTGAGGATGTGATGCTATACTCTGCTTCTAGAAGTACCATTTCTGGGACTGCTGGTTCCTATTACTTCTGAAATAAGTTGGATTAGAAAAGAAGTGCTGTCTTGATCCAGACATTTGTGTTCAGGCCATCTTGAGGTAATAAAAAATAGACATAAATCCAATTTATACCAGTTGATTTTACACAGTATGAATTAACCATGTAAGAACAAATTTACAGAGTGCTACAGAAGAAAATGAATGTCAAATCCAAGTCTTTCTAAAGTTCATGGCATACTTTTGGACATTTATATACAGAGAAAAACATTTGAGCTGTTAGATTTCTCTGACTGCCCTTGTACACCATGGAACGTCTGTTGTACCTTCATCTTTGCTATGCATTGTCAAGTGGTATAAACACTTTAATTCACATTTTACTGATGCTTTTTTTGACTGGCATCAGGTTATTTCTGCCACCTGTAGGACTCATATATGCCTCGTGTTGCTACTGCCACGAGAAAGCAGCATGTTGATCCCAGCTTTTATCTCTGGAGACCAAGTCTAGATTCCAGGAAGCACAGCAAATAAGTAGAACATACCACACAATATTTCCTAACTTCCTTTCCAGAAAGATTTGAAAGACAGAAAGACAAGAAACTGCGCCCCATAAACTCAGCATGGGTCAGAGTTTAACATTTATTTTTTGGAAGACTGAAGTAATGACCTAACTGTATCTCAGGCTTTCTGGAAAGGATTGTATTCTTCTTTCAGCTGCAAATATAATTGGACTCAGGTACCACAAAGACTCAATAGGATCCCAAATTGTACCGAGATTCCTGAATGTTTCAGTCACTTCTGTTTCCATAGAATGGAATTGGAGCATTTTGCACTTGTACATAGGACAGGCAATTATTTAAGAGATTTTCTGAAGCTCTGTGACACCCACTACACTAATATGCTGCTGCTTCACTGTTGGGTCTCAGAAATCACCTCAGGATTCATGGCTTTGTGCTCCACAGCTCTCCTTCCTCCACAGCTGTGTAGCTTCAACAAAGAGAAAGTTGGGTGAAATTGCCACTTTACTCTTTAACTCGAGCACTTGGTGCACTGCCCTGTGCCCATGCTATTTCTTGACTATTTCTAAACCCTGGATTTTATGAGTACTTTAGGACAATCGCTTCAAACTCAGGGTATTTCTTCAGGCCATATATATTTATTGGTTAAGTTTATCCCATGAATACTGTTTACATTGAACAATATTTACTTCTTGCAGATCTCTGTATTCTATAAATATTTATAGGGTGCTGTATATCTTCACTTACTTGATTATAACCAAGTTTCCAGTAGTCTACGTAAATTTCCTCCCGTCCTTATTGATTTTCCCCAAATTCCTTACAATCTGTAGCTGTAATTCTTGAGCCAGTTTGGATGATCAGCCAAGTTTTCAACTACTCCACGTTACAAACCATAGGTTTCATTTTTCAGTGCCCAAACTGATGAACACATTATGAACTCAGACCTTCTGATTTTCAGTGCAGTGTTGCCTTCCCCCAAACCAAACATTTCTGATGCTGAGGACCCCTGGTTGCGCAAGCTCAGCACGTTCAGTACTGCTGGTGTAGCTGGGTTTGTCAGTGCTTCAGCAGATGCTGTCTGGCATGGCCAAGGATGTGGCCCATGGAGTATCTGGAGGTGGGCCAAGCTGGAGCTGCATTTCTCGCCCAGATGTTTTAGATTGAGTCCTATGGGAACCAGCTGTGGGGATGTGCTACATTATGAGACAAGGCACAGTTCATACATCAAGACCTGGGAAGCTCAGCAGCACCTTTAGGTGGCTGCTTTTGGCATAGAAACTACCATGTTTTAGGTGCAGTCCTGGAAGGGCCAGCTTAAAATCAAAGCAAATGACACGAAGTAAGAATAATGCTTATCTCAGAGAGAACGAGAAAGAATAATTTGAAATATCAGGGTCTTATTACTAATTTTTCAGAGATGCAGTCAAATAACCCTCAACATCACCGCTTAGAGCTTTTCATTTCTTCTTTTTTCCATATCAGAACTTGTATTAGCCTCCTGTTAAACCTGTTTTTAAGAGTTATGGTTGTGAGAAAACTTTGCTCAACTTATTCTCTGTTCACTAACCCAGATGGGTTACAGGAGAATGGGAGCCTTGCAGCAAGAGCTGTGGGAAAACAGGATACCAAGTGAGATCCGTGCGGTGTATCCAGCCCCTGCACGACAACACCAATCGCTCTGTTCACACCAAGTACTGCAACAACGACCGCCCAGAAGGCAGGAGGCCTTGCAACAGGGAGCTTTGCCCAGCACAGTGGAGAACAGGCCCCTGGTCACAGGTCAGTCTCTTTCTGGAGGTCTCAGACTACTCATTTCTTCTAATGCAGGGGAGAATGTCTTGATGTTTGTTCTGTGCTTTCTATTCAAATGTGTTGACACAATGAACTAATACTTAGAGGATATATTGCTTCCACTGCTACCAATGCCACAGAAGGTCAGTTAGATGGAGAAATGGTGCCAGTGAAGCAGCCAGGAAAGCCATCCTGCAGTGATGCTGGATGATCTAGGCCCTGTGAGCCACCCACCTAAGATGTCAGCATCTGGAAAGCTGACTTTACGTGCTCTTTATTCTCCTTGCAATTATTTACCTGTTGACTTAAGCTGAGAGAAGGGCAATTAATTCTTTTATCACTGTTTTATTTCTTTCAAATAAATAAGGCTTTAAAGTCTTCAGACACTGTGAAGGAAGTTAGGTACCTACACTTGTGGAGGTTCAAAGGTGCAAGCATCCTCCATGTAAAGGGATTTACATGATTTACAAGAGATTACTCTAGGTTCTGCAGTACAAATAATGTTCCATGTCGGCTCCAGTTAAGGGCAGTGGTCGAAAATCTAACCCCAAATTTCTAATCCATTGTTTCCAAAGGGTGGCTGGGGGTCTAACTGGTGCATCTCCTTTCAGTGTTCTGTCAGCTGTGGCAATGGCACACAGGATCGCCCAGTCCTGTGCCGGACCAGGGACAATGCTATTGGCCTTTGCAAAGAAAGTAAACCAGAGACTGTAAGGATTTGCAGACTACCTCCATGTCCAAGTAAGTGCCTGTCTCCTCTAGTATGTGCTACTTGCTGAAAAAAAAAATTATGTGGATTGTATTTATTTGAAGTGCCTTCATTGAATTTATATTTGTATTCTGCATCTGTCTGGGTTGGCAGTTCTCCTTAGCCTCAGTTTTGAGCAGACTTTTCATGCAGAGCTGTTGTATGGCCAGTGGGCTTCTTGGGCACGTGGTTGTTCTCTTCTCACAACGGGGAGCACCACTTGCCCCAGGACAGCAGGAGAGGCTGGGGCAGACCTCAGCACAGCAGTGATGGATGGATCTGGCCAGCAGACGACAGCTCCCCTGGGTGAGAAGCATTGCCCGAGTCCAGCCCTGTGCTCCTGAGACGTGCTGGGCCTGGCAAGAGGCTGCTGAGTTGTGGCTAATCAAGGGCGTCACGTACAAAGTTGCCTCTTTGCTTTCCCCGTCTCCAAAAACAGTTCCAGGCTTCTCTTCCATTCTGTCAAGCACAAGTTATCTTCAGGGGTTATCTAACTCAATTCTTTTTAAGGTATAATAAATGTCCTACTTAACCCAGGACACTAATGCCTCTTTCCTTGTTAGCTTTTCAGTTGTTTGCAGCTGAAGCTTGCGAGCTCATGTTACATACTCCTATTATTAAGGAATTCAGATTTTTCTTTTATACCCGATGTATTTCCCAGGGTAGCTTTTGATTCCTGATTAATTAGAACCAAGCTGTCAATTGCAGTCTCCAACACAAAGATTTTAAAGAGACAGCCAGTCTAGTCTAGTTATACTGCATCTTAGACCATATTTAATGGTGCTGTGAGAAGTCCTGTTGGAGAGCTGGCCTTCGGGCTGGCTTCAGTACTGGCTGCCAAGTACTGGGTACAACTCGTAGCAAACTGGCAAAACAGCATCCTCTGCCCCAAACTACACAGCCTGGTCATGATCCTTCCCCAGGCTATTTCACCATCAGAGCCTACTTTCTCTCTTAGCTTATCATTTCTGATGGGTCAGCTACTTAATTCTGACATTTGTTGTGTTAAATCTTTTTTTTTTTTTTCTTTCTTCCTCTATTCAAGGAAACGTTTCTGATCCTTCAAAGAAAACCTACATGATACAATGGCTGTCAAGACCTGATCCAGACTACCCCATCCAGAAAATATCTTCAAGTAAAAGACCCATTTATAACTCTGCCTTTGCCCTTAAATGCATGCCACATCGAATGTGGACTTTGCCTTTTGCTCTCTTCTTCTCTCTATGCGGAAAGTTCCCTTGACTTTGCCAAGATGAAATCTTGGGCTGAATCTTTTTTCCACACCAGGCACTTGGTGCTCGGTGTCTTTCTTCTCTGGAGCTTGCGTAGCACTGGTGGCGGAGGTCTTGAAGTGTTGGGTGTGTGAAGTTGGATCTCCACGGTATGTTGCAGTCCTCTGAAAGGGAGCTGGGATCGGTTTGCTTGTTGCTTGGTGATGGTGAAAAAAGGCTCTTACTGGTTCATGATGTTCAGTTTGATAGCAAAACTGAGAACTTATTGTGAATGTGATCACATCACAATAATGACACCTTGTAGTGCTAAAGTTCTCCTTTATCTAAAAGCCCTAAATCTCATAGCTCTCTGGTTTCAGTTCACTGACAGGGTAGTCTGATGAGTGAAAGAATTTTTCCATTCCATTTTCCGTTGCGGTGCCATCACTTTACTCACCTCTCTGCTCATTTTTATATTCCTGACCCTCACGTTTCTGTTTGGAACCCCTGGAGGGCTCACGGGGAAGCAGAAGCTCAGTCTCTGTCAGTGCTCTCCATGCTGCTACCACGCCGTCTGCTCTCGCCAAACCCCTGGTGGTGGTTTGAAATCTTTTTCCTTGAGAAAAGCTGCGTTCATTTTTCCTGTTGCACAGTTTTTTGGCCAGTTTTGCGTGCTTTAGAAACAAAACCGGAGCAGAATGGGCACGGTCCATGTTGAAGGTCATGTGGTGGCATTTTTCTTAACCTGGTGGAGGCAATATGATGTTTTCATCGCCTACGATGTCTCCAGCTGCTCAGCATGGAGCTGTTTATACTCATTCCATCTTTGGTCTTTTTTCACCATGTGCATGTCTGACTTGACTGTTATGGTTGTATGTGTGTGTGTGTGTGTGCTCTATAGCTGTGTCAACTGGCAAACATAACAGTGTGAACTACTACAGAATTACCTCAATTTTTATTGCTTTTTTGTTTTGCTTAGGAGAAGAATTTTAGAAAAATGCCTTAATGTTGAAATGTAAACGGCATTAATTTACCAGATCCAGCTTTAAATAGAAACAGTACACTGGTACCTTGGGTTAATCTTCATGAGGAGTGTTTTTACTTGAACGATAACTATCAGAAGGCAGTAAATTTAATGTGAGGTTAATTTGCACAGTGCATATCCATGTCTTCATCAAGGCAGGATTGTGACCTGACTTACTGAAATTTAACTGGCATTCTTGCTTCACCTTCCGTGTTTGTGTTGAAGATTTGGAATTCACATGTCATAAACCTGTTTGTGACAGTCAGTACCAATAGTACAAGTGTATCGACTTTAAAACTGCAGACTTGGAGCAAATTACTACCTTATTGCATTGATCATGTTCTTTGGAAAAGTGGCATTTTTGAACCTTTGGGTTGCCAGCAGTGTAGCACTTCAAACTTGTCATTATCATGTGATCACATATTTAAATTTTGCTGTTAATGCGATAATTTCCTGAAACATGTTAACAATTTACATGACAAGGTGAAAAAGCAAAGACACGTATCTGGCACTGAATACTGTTATGTAAAATAATTGGTGTTTAACTGTATAAATATATTCATGACTGTTACCTTTAAATAGACAATGTTTAGTGATGTTTCAAGAGATGGGTGGCTATAGAGAATGGTGCAATAAGGTATCTGGGCATTGTGCACTATGTCTATATGCACTTTGGTTTATCAGGGATATTTTATTAGTGTTTTGTATGTATTTAACATATTAAAGATGTGCCAATTCAGTTTGCTTTTCAATATTTTTTTATGAGACTAATGTGTACCAAAGTGACTGTGAAACTGATTTATTTTTTTCTTACTGATGTTTTGAAGATATACTTCCAGTCTGTCATGCATACTGCAAGTAAAAATAAATAAAAGTTCAGCAAATCTGGATACTTTGCTTTGGATAGAGGATAAAAATTTCATTCTGGCATTCATACAATACAGAGTTTATTTATATAACTTATCAGATGTCACTAAACATATTACATAATGCAGTTTTATTTTCATGCATTTTTAAGCTTGACATTACATATTTTTGATAGGAAAAAAAGGCATTTTTCTAAAGGTGCTCTTAGTGACTCTTAAAAAGCCAAGAACAGACCTGCCTTGTTGAAATTACCTTTCAGTATTATATCTGTTGGCTTTTGTTTGGCAAGCCATTTGGAGAAGCTTGTGTTAAGGTCATACAACACAAAGTGTTCAAAGGGGACTCTGTGATATGTAAAAATACATACATAAAGCTGTAGAGGCACATGCATTCCTTTGTATGGAGTTGGGCATGCAGAAAGAAACAGTTCCAGCTCTTAAAAACTGGTTTTAAAATGTCTCCAACACCAAGGTGCTATTCTTAGGTTCCTAAGGACAGAGTTGTTCTCTCTTTCCAGAAGCATCTCTCTCAGTTTAGCATTTGCAAAATATGAAAATGAATTGACACGTTTGAAAATAGGAACCAGAATTTTGCTTTTCTGCCACAAATGCAACAATGGGGGCATCAATACAAGGCGAGGAAGGTGTTTCCACCTTTCTCAGCCAGCACGAGCCTTTGAAAGCAGCAGCAACAGTTCCTGGGTTGTTTTCGACTGATATGTTTGCCAATTAAACACCTCGAATGCCCTGTTTTGTTAACGGAGGATGAGTGAAGAGGCAACACCTACACTTTCTGAGTTCACTTGGTTTCTCTGAGTCTGCTCTGGTTCTCTCCTTTGCTGTAAGGTTGCTGACAGGGTAAGTCAGTGTTCCTAGCAGGGTGGTGAAATAAGAGCTCCAGTAACACACTGACTTGAGCATGCTGTCTGCCATCGGGTGTGCTCTAAATAAAGGCGAGTAATTGGAGTTACTCATCCTTTACTGTAAGAGTAGGTGGAAATCTACTAAGAGCAGGGAGAGAGGCAGAAGTGATTTCATCTCTGTCTGGTCACAGAGCAAATAGTTTGCTACTGATTATGCCAAGTGTTGGTCAGTCTGCCTTTCTCCCAAGCCCTCTCCTACAACCCCCTGACTCCTCTTTCTTTCAGTATGGGCTGCGTGTTGGGGTTTTTCCTTCACGGCAGTTCCTGATAGCTCCTGGCTCCATCTCTTCAGCCTGGAGGCACAGGAGCTGTAGAGCCTGTCCGTAGGACGGAGGACAGGTAGCTTGCTTGCCAAGGAGGCTGCTAACCCCTCACCATCCATCTGCTGCCAGTTCACATGGCCCTCTGCCTCCTCTGAGCAGAAATCACAAGGGCTTGAGCAATCTCTGAGTGGGCTTCTCTTTGTTTCTCAGATATTAATACAGTTTGTGACCACTTCACCTTTAGCACCTATGTTTTGCCACATGTATTTCAGCAAGATCAGGACCTGCTGTAACACTGTGATTACAGTGCAGACTGTTATAACAGCTCTCAACAGCTTAAAACCTATCGATTACCATGATTTCTCTTTTATTAGAGTTTTCCAGTCAATGACACAAAAATGAGGATTTGTTATTGAGTCTCCCAGCCATTAATGGACTGGCTCTGCTCCATCTCACTGGAGTTTGTTGTTCTGAAAATATCAGCTCCCTTCTGGGAGGAGGAGAAAAGCCTTACACTAAATGCACCACTTTTCTCTCAAGCAAGGGAGACGCTCAGGCAACTCTGCTGTTTTCAGAACAGAGGTACCTGGCAAAAATACCACTTCAATGGAAGGTAGATTAATTCTGAGAGTTACACAATACACGTAGAATTAAGACTTGACTTTCTTGAGATAGTCCAGATAAAAATAAATTACCCCTAACCATGGTTAGTCGCTGTTAGACTGCAGGAAATTATTAAAAGGAGCGAAGAGGGGAAAACCAAAGACTTCTTAATATAAATCCTGATGACTTCCTGGGGGTTTAGTGTAGCTTTAGTAACAACACAACCCCCTCGGTGTGTTTTGAGCCCTAAGCCAAGGCAGGACTGCAGGTCATTGTGGCTGTGTGGTCTCCAGGGTACCACCTGCAGAATATGAAGCCAAAACTCAGTGTTATGGTCTGTAGGGTGGATGGGGCTGGTACAGAGAGTTCAGATCAGCTTTTGCATCCCTTCCAGTGAGCTGGGGTTTAGGTTCACTATTCAGCCTGCTTCTGCTTATAGATTGCCAGTTCCCCATCCCACTTTATATACCAAGCCCTCTGCCAAAGCTTCAGCTGTGTTTCTTTTTCCGATTAATGCGAAGATGCTCTTTATTTAAGCTGTTTCTTTTTCTCTTTCAGAAGAACATTGTCAAGGAGACAAGTCCATGTTTTGTCGCATGGAGGTTCTCTCCCGTTACTGCTCCATTCCTGGTTACAACAAGCTCTGTTGCAAGTCCTGCAACACGTACAGCAACATAACAGAGGGAGGCAACGTCACCGATGCTAACCTCAGGAAGAACAATGACATTGAGGAGGAGCTCCTGACAACCCTCAGCCCTCCCACGGGAGTGTCCACCACGCAGCCTGCCACCCGCCCTCCTCTTGTTCCCAGAACACAAGCACCCCCCTCCAACACGACCGAGGAGCACCCCGAGGTCAATGCAGTGGACGTTCCCTACAAGATCGACGGGCTGGATAACGAAGTGTCACAGCACAACATCATCACACAGAGGAGGATACCTTACGAAAAGACAAGGAATCAAAGAATTCAGGAGCTGATTGCTGAGAAAAGGAGAAGAGAGACTCTTAGAAAAATAAACTAAAGTGGAAATACGGCACAAGCAACGTTTTTCTCTTATAGAGAGGTTACCGACACCGTAGTATTGCCCATGTTGTAGAGACTGAAAATGGGGAAAAATCAAAGTGGTGCTATGGCAAGAGATGCCAGATTCTAAAGCCTACTATAAATAGAAGTGACAGCTCGTTTTGTAAGTGCTAATCTGAACACTTTGGTGGCTAGGTGTACAGGGTATGGTAGAATACTAGTGCAATACCATTGCAGCATTTCACTGAATCCAAACAAACGGTGATACCTAGGCCAGGTTAGCAGGTTTCTTGTTTATGGGCTCTTTTAAGTCTCCTATACCTGTTTAAAACTGCTTGGGAATAGTAATTACACTTAGGATGGAGGAGAACAGTCCCAAGACATAATAAATCCCTTTCACACTGACAAGCAGGTGGTCAACAACCCTGTGATGCTCCTGTGCATTGCATAAACCCGGGCACGAGCTCAGCCCCTGGTTCAGGAAGGCAAGGACGTGCCCAGCCAGGTTCAGCTGCCTTGGGTAGAGCTGCTCCTGTGCTCACAGCTAGGCAGGTGCTTCCCTGGCTTCCTTAACCAGGACTGCGTAAGAAAAGAGAGAGAAAATTTGTTAGCCATATATTTATGTGTAAATTAAAAACGGGCAAACAGGAGTTTATGTATTTCCATAAACAGTTTCAAAGGATTCTCCTAAACTTCTGAATACGTGCAAGATCTTGAGTAGGGTAGATCCGGCCAACTTGGACTGACAACATCCTAGTCTTTCTGTTTACAATTATCCATATTTTTTATAGTCTTTAAGTTCCTGTAATTCAACAGCTTCAGTGATCTTTGTTGGTTGGTGCTTTTTTATTAAGCTGATTTTTTTTTCCTACCCACATACTGTTTAACTTATGACTGGATTCTTGTTGCCTTTTCTTTGGTGCTTTGTTAAGAATTTATTTTTTCCTCCCATAGGATGAGGCTGTTTTGGAGGAATTAATTTAGTATCATCTTCCTTTCCTTAGGACAGCTTTATTGGTGCAGAAGTGAAGAGCTCTTTGCTGTGCCCTTACGTGTACACGCACATCCACACACACACACACGTGTACTCACAGTACCACATCTGCTGGAAACTCTTGAGATGTGTATCCTGACAACCCTTTGAGTACTTTCTTTCCCCTCAGGGTCATCATGGTTTTCACAGGTCATTTTGAACTCCTGGTTGGAGATTAGAAGATGAATTCAGCTTGGCTCTAACACCACAGAGATGGGGAGCTGTGGTGTGGATCCTGCTGTGGGTGGCATCTGAGCAGTTTTTCTTCTGTCTCCTGGCTTGGACTTTTCCATTTGTTTCCTCTTTGCTGGTAAACCTCCTGCAGAGCCCAGGGATTCCCTGAAATCCTCATTTTACCATTAGGTAGGTCTGATGGCTCCTAGTTCAGTTTCCAGTCTGAGAGAAAGACCTCATCCTCCTGCCTGAGCTGGTCTTAGTTTGAAGCAGTACCAGTAAAAAGCCTGCATATACAGTCACAAAATCATTGGAAATGTGCCGAGTTTCCAGCAATGTGTAAGCTGTTCTGTGGCCAGGCTGCTGGCAAAGAGCTTCAGGAGTATTACAAGGTGAAGCACATGTGGCATCCTGCAACCCTGCCTCCTGCCCTTGACTACCACAGCTGGATGAGCTGCCCAGTCCCTCTTCAAAACAAGCCAGTCCTGCTGGGAAGGAGGTGAAAGCATGCAGGAACAGCAGACTTTCCAGCACTGAGAGGCTGAACTGTTCTGACCAGCAGTCTCTGAAGGGCATGACCTGGTTTAAGAGAAATGGGGCAAAGTTGGAAGTGGGTAGATTCAGGCTGGACATGAGGAAGAAGTTCTTCACCATGAGAGTGGTGAGACCCTGGAATGGGTTGCCCAGGAAGGTGGTTGAGGCCCCATCCCTGTGGGTCTTTAAGGCCAGGCTGGATGAGGCTCTGGGCAGCCTGATCTAGTGGGAGGTGTCCCTGCTCATGGCAGAGGGGTTGGAACTGGGTGATCCTTGTGGTCCCTTCCAACCCTGACAGATTCTGATCTGTTTTGGCAGAGGACTTTAGAGCCCTAATGGCTCAATGGTTGGACTTGATAATCTTAAAGGTCGCTTCCAACCTAAAGGATTCTATGATTAAATACTTTCTGGAGATTCTAGCCAAAGCAGAGAAGGAATGTTTTCAGCTGTGTGATGACATCAAGCATCTGTTCTCACAGAGGACCAAGGTGATACACGTGGGTGAGTGTTTAGGAGCAGCTCAGATAGTACAGGGATGGGAGTTACACTGAAGACCATGAAGACCAGGCAGCATAGTGGGCCTGGTGTAATCCAGAGCACTAGGAAACATCCCCTGGGCCAAGCAGAGGTGGCTGCAGATGTGACAGCAGCAGCCAGCACCAGCAACAAAGTGATCTCTTCTGGTTTTGAAAAGTAACTCTAGAGCTCCAGAGTTGGGCAGTGTTGAGCAGTGGATGGCTGGGGCAGTGGCAGAATTTAACTCATGAGACATTAATCATTTTCCTGCAGTCAAAGGTTGCTTTGCTTTAGTTGCCCATGTGGTGGCCTTGGCTAGCACCAGCCCTGCTCCATGGCCTGCCTGCCCTTACAGAGCCACGATGCACAGGCAAGCCCAGCACTGGCCCCAGGAACATTGTGCCAAGGGATTTGTGGTTGCCTACAGACAAGACAAGTTTCAGTAACAGCATGAGGGTCAGGTCACATCTGTGTGAGACAGAGAAATGTGGCAATGAGCACTGAAGGGAAAAAACCCCACCATGCTATTTATAAGTGAGGAAGATTTGTCTGCAGCAGCATCATTCCAGCTGCTGTGCCATGGGACAGCCAGGCTGTAGCTGGGCTCCCAGCCTGCAGACATGGGGAGTATTTCTTGCCTTCCACGTTTCCTTTACACAGATGTGGTTAGTGTAAAACTCATCTTTTCCCCTTCAAGTTATCCTGCTTTTAGCTCTGTGGGCAGTAAAAATAAACCACAACCCCCAGCTTTTTCATAGCCTAGAAGCACATCCAAGCATATGATAAACTTAGGAAAAACTCTCACAAACCCAAGGGTAGAGAGGGGTTGGGGTTTGATGTTACACATGTGGGCAGGCAGAAGTTTGCTAGCTGGATGGTACCAGTCTGAGACTTTGTGGATACCCATTTCTCAGACCTCTAGAAGCCTGAGATAACTCATCCAATACCTTCTGTTCTTTCTTAGCTTCTGAAATTGGCTTAGTCAACCAGGCAATGTAAAGAAATGCCACAGGAGGAAGTGCCCGCAGCTCAAACCCTGCCTTACAAATAACCTCTTCTAAGAAGGACTTTTTAAGGACTTCGAAGTTGTGTTCCAAATGCAATTAGGGCAGGAATTTATTCGGTGCAACTTCAAGTGACGTTTCTGCAAACGACATGAGGAAAGGTCTGTTCTGGTGTGGTGACCCAATGTTTGAGAAGGACTGGGTGGTCCTACTCCAGGACTGCTGTAGGCTGGGCAAGGTCAGTTTGCAGGGGTTCACTCGCTCACGTTCAGCATGGACACCCTGGCTGAACTTGCAAAGCTGGCTCAAAGTTCAGAAGCTTGACTTGTTTGTTCTTTGTCTAGGGGGAGTTGGTTCACAATCGAACAAACCAAATGCATATTTCCAGATAAGGTGGAAAGTTTGCTGCCTCTTGGAGCAGGAGCAGCTGCCCAGAAAGCTGGTGTGGTGCTATGCTGGGTCTGGTGGTCATTAGGGACCCAGTGCAATGCCTAGAGGCATCTGCATTTGGGAAAGTTTTGCTCCCTTCTCAGTCTTACTTTTAGGGAGATTTAATTTGGTTTATTTCTGACCGGTTTTACTTCTACTGAGTATGACTCTGGCTGTTATTTGGGGAACATTGAAATGATATTTGAAGGAGCAGCTTTTGTCTAGATTGCTCAAGATGGATTCTGGTGGGCACAGACTTGTCTGTCTCCTTGTGGAGGACAGCCACTAGCTACCTCCTCTTTACAGTCTTGCAATATGAGAAGGGGGAAAAAAAAAAGTCTCTTTAGGCCAGGAAAGATGCTGGCATGAGTTTTTCAGAAGGTGCTTTTTTTCAGCAGATCCCCATGATGGTAATTTTCTAAGAACAGGCACCTCATTTCTGCTGGAAAACACAGAGCAAAGCTCCATCGACACAGAACAAGCAGCCCAAGGCAGTAGGTGAGGTTTTGTTCTCAGCTGATCCATGTTCCTTGTTAAAGCAGTGGAAATTTTGGTCATTTTTTTCATTGGTTGAACTTTGACAACTGTTTCCTCTGTTCTACAATGCTGTAATTGGGCAAAAGCATCATTGTAGTGTGTCTTCTCTAACTGGTACCACATTTGGAGAGATAATGAGTGGAGAATGGTATTTCAGTGTAACCTAATCCCCAGAAACTAAAGCAGATTTATATATTCCATATAAAGCAGTCAATATATTCCTGCAGGGACCATCTCAGAGATCTGAGAGCTAAAGCAGTGTTGCTCCCATTAAACAATGCATTTTGTGATCTAACCACCCAAGTACACAGATATCTAAACTGTTGTTTTTCTGTTGGTCTAAAGTTAAAATCAGAGTTACAGCCCCTCGTGAAAATAAAAAAGATCCCAAACCAGTTCTAGTTCCTTTGGCTCCAATCTACTGCCATTTTTTTTCACCAACATTCCTTTAAAAATCTCTGTAATCTATTATGAATGCATCACTTTTTATATTCCTGTATCCATTCAGTATTTAGAGTCTCACAACATCTCCATAGAATGCTTTCAGATATTTTGAGAATTCTAGAAATGGTGCTTTACCAGTACTCAAAGGGGTTTATGTTTTATTTTATTACATAATGCATTTAATGTCTTATTTACTCACCTACAATGCACAGTATTAGTTATGTTCATCTGAATATCTATATGCAACTTCCATTCACTTACATATGCCTTAACAGAAATTGCAATAAATAGCCATTTCTTGTATATTAAAAATGTATATACAAATTA